TTTATTAAATCAAATCACATCAATCTATATCTTCAAACATTATCAAAAGAGGGGGCCTGCTGTAGTGCGGAAACAGGATAAGGCGGAGTATCCAAATACCCCCTGATCCGCCATTGGGCGAGTCCCCGGCCCCAGGTTCCAGCAGTCTTAAAGACAGCAGGAACCCGACTGGTCACTAATAAACCCCCCAGACCTCAAGACATCTTTAATTGATGACTGTTGGTCCGGAAGTGGCCCAGCGCATCTTCCCCGCAGCGACCCTGTAATCACACGATCCGCAGAGCCGGGAGGTCGGATGCGCTGTTGGCTTACCTGAATTACAAATGGGACACACCGAGACTACCTGTTTTTCCGCACTACCCGCCAGTGTGACCAAATCAACCACCAAAAATGCCAACAACCCTTCTCCAGTGTGGGATAGGCGAAAAATCCCCACATCCAAAAGCCAATCAGGATGAAAGTCAAAAATTCCTATCCAGCCCCTAAAAGGTGAACATAAAAATCACAGTAGAAATAGGGAGGGCAGGTGGGTGTCCAAACAGGAAAGAGAGCGATCAAGTGGGAGTGCTTGCTTAAATAACCGCACTCCCTCACTCAAACTAGTTATGTGACCCGGGACAGTCTCGCGCCATCCAGGACAGTGAGGCAAATGCCAGCTATGCTGTTCCAGGGCGGCAAACCATCCGTCCAGCAGCTGAGACCTTCTTAGTCTTGCTGAGTTCATTTTTCCTTTTCTGTCCTTCACAGTGTTTGAATGGTACGAGGTGTCTGTAGAGGTGCTGCTCCACCCATTAGTGTATTTGGCCTTTTCACTCTGCCCCATGTTTTAAAATTCAGAAACACTCTGATTTGGTTTGTTTTACTATATTCATCTCAGGAGTTCTGGGCGGCAGTAGGCTATGCCGATCAGGTGTCCGCACTAAGTCCGGCATCAATATGGTGATCCTTGGGGGGCCGGAGGCCACCAGGTTGCCTAAGGAGTCACAAAGAGTCGGACATGACTAAACGACTAAAAAACAACAACTATATTCATCTAAAGATACTACTCACTCTATTGGCAATGTAGTGGACATATAAGAGTAGTTGTAGATTTTAATGATATTCAAAATATCTATATTAAAATTTTTCATTAGATGAACCTTCTGGATTACTTCCTGAAGCCTTTTTCCACAGGGAAGATCAACCTGATTTAATTGACTTACAAAGATTTTACAACTCCGTAGAGAAAAATTATACATTCTGTTTTTTATCATCTAAATGATTCTTTGCTTATGGTCTCTCCTGACATAATAACAAAAATTTCAAAAGTTACAACTAAACCTATGATAGGTCCAGATCATACTCCAGCAATAAATACCTATTTATGACAAAAGGAACAGTTTTGTACTTTGATTAGAAATCCACTGAGAAAATATTTTGAGTTGACTGCTACTGCAGGATTGAAATGGTTGTACAACTGCGATATGTACAAAGTAATTTATGAACAAAATTCTAATTAAAAGGTTTAAGAATGTAAGAAAGAGGAAAGGCAGCAGGAACAACAAGTAATAGAAAATATGAGAAAACCAGAAGGAAAATAAACACTATGTTAGACCCTGGTGATTTCAAGTGGGACTTCTTAGAACAAAAGAAAAGGCACAAACTAAAAATTTTATAAGGCCTATATATTTTGAATATGGAAACAAGCTATGGAATTGCAGGGAGAATGAATGTGATAACTAATGTCTGTGTAGGCTATGGTAGCGTGCTTCACCATGACAGCAAAAAAGATCCCAAAAAGGGTTGGTGCGAGGACACACCCCTTTTTCACTCCGCTTCGGATGTCAAAGGGATCTGATGTTGAGCCATCAAAAACTATAGTGCCTTTCATTCTCTCATGGAAGGTCCTGATGATGTTAAGGAGTTGAGGTGGACATCCAATCTTGGGAAGTATTTTAAAAAGGCCATCCCTGCTAACCAAATCAAAGGCCCTTGTGAGATCTATGAAGTCCACAAAGAGCGGCTGTTGTTGTTCCCTACATTTCTCCTGCAGCTGTCGGAGGGAGAATACCATGTCAGTGGTGGATCTATTAGCTTGAAATCCACACTGTGATTCTGGATATACTCTGTCTGCAAGCACCTGGAGCCTCTTCAGCACAACACAGGCACTTGTTGTGACTAATATCTGCACTAAAATATAAGAATAAGGTAACACCAAAAGAGATTATTAGCAGTTTTCATTTCATTATCAGGAATTATATTCTTCAGATCATGTGGATAATGAGCTCATTACCAACTTGTTCTCCACTGAAGTTCACTAATCAAGGTAAACATGTTCAAAAGTCCTTCCTTGCCCGTTGAGCGGCAACAAAATTCTCACCTCTGATTTCTTGTTAGAGCTGGCAATAAGCAAAATCCAGCTCCTCTCTGCAAGCACTGCAAATGGAGAGTGCTGGAATTCTCCCCTCTGGTTGCATGTTGGAGCTGTCAATGAGCATAGCACAAGAACAGAAATTGATCAGAGACACTGAATTAGCCCAGCAACTTCTAGACTTGCAAATGTTAGTAGTGGGAAAGTTTCCAGAACAACTTTGCTTGAATGCACCCAAGAGCCGCTCTCCCTCTGCACTGCCATTATTTCACTGACGTCTTCCTTATTGTTTCAAGAGGCAGTCAGTTTGTGATTTCATGTCCTGATTGCCTTCCTCTTTGTTTCCCTTTTCTGAATAACATTTTCTTTTGGATGGCTTGGCAAGCAGGTCATTAAGCGTAGAAGAGGCAGAACTTTGTTCATGTGCTCAAAGTGCTTGGAGTCCAGCATTTCTTCTACAGTGTCTTCGAGATCTCATCCCAAAATGTTCATTGTGGGCCACCTCATGCTCCTTGCAATTGGTGTCTCCCTCCACACAGCACCATCAGGTGAGTTCTCTTAACAATGGGTGAGGAAACCTTTTTTAATAAGGCTGACAACTTTTTAACAGGCTGCACTACAACTGCAGGTTGTAGTTGAGTTGGCGGAGTACATGCACTAAAAAGAGAGAAGGACATGTAATTTCAGCAGGTTAAAAAGAAAAACCTTTTTTAAGAAGGCTGACAACTTTTTAACAGGCAACTGCTTTGATAGGAGGTTTGAGTTGGCGGAGTACAAACACTAAAAAGAGAGGAGGACATGTAATTTCAGCAGGTTAAAAAGAAATAGAAAATATGAGACTATCAGTTTCTAACAGGCCTCAGTATTCATGTACAAGTGTTAGAAACTCCCTGGAAGAAATTCCAGAAAGTGGTGAAGGCAGAGGTTATTTCAGATATAAGATGCTAAAAAAAGTGTAGGAGAAGAATTGTTACGAAAGAGAACACACCAGTGGGAGTTGCAATAAAATGCTGGAGTGATGTTTGCTCCTCTCCCTTTCAGACTTTGAATCAGCATGCCATATTTTACACAGAGATGATCATTCCATCCACTCTTTGAGCCATCTTGATTTTCCCTTTTTACCCTCAACTCAATATTTGATTTTACCTGAGGGGTTCAGGATTCATTATAGGGTTTTCAAGGTAAGAAATATTCAGAAGTTATTTGTCATTGGCATCTTCCTGCACAGTCCTAACTAGAGTTAGCTTGAGTGTCACTGAGGTTGTTTATCAAAGACCCTCCATCAGTGTCACCTTCAGCTATCATCTCCTTCTAGGAGCTGTCTTCCAGGAGTTTCTCTACCTGCATCAACACTAAAACTGTCCATTCTCTTCTGCTGATGTGACCATTAATCTTGAAGAGGGAGAATGCACCTTAGTCTGGTGTTTCACACCTTTGCCTTGGGTGACTCTGCTAGAAGTCCAGACTTGTAATGGAGTCTAGCCTCCTGACAGTATTGACTTTTCGGATCCACTCAAATCCCATCACCACGTTAAGGTCTAGATCCAAGAAGGACACATGTGTCATGAATGTAAAAGTGGGACAATGAAAAAAGCTGACCAAATAAAGGGATTCATTTAAAATGTGGTGTTTGAGCAGGGTTTTACAGATGTCACAAACTCTCTGAAAGACAAAGGGGCATGAAGAAATTAAAAACAAATTAAGCCGGAACTCTTCCTAGAAGTGAAGCAAAAAAAAAAAGATTAAACTGAGGATATTGTACATCGAGCATATCATGAGAATATCAACTTACCAGATGGAACAATAATGCTAGGAGAATTTAAAGGCAAGAGGAAAAGAGGAAATGGTTTCATAAACATAAAAAGAATTTCAATAAATCAAATCTAAAATAAATTTCCTTAAAGCCCCAACAACATAATTCTACACAAAAACACCTGAATATTGTCCAAAATATTATTCTTTAAAACACTTCATGAAATAATACAGTTGGGTTGCATCCACTATTTCATTACTGCAAATCATTATAAAAATACAGTGTAATCTTAAATATGTCTGCTTGGAAAAAGCCATGTCAAATTCACCTTACCTTACTCTGAGCTAAGGTTGTACACGACTGCAGCCATACTGTGAGTCTCACAATGATAGTTGTCCTCTTGTGTATTCTCTCAATTTAACAATATTTTTTCAATAAATACATATTTACTGTTGTAATTGCAGGAAAATGGGAACCAAATAATTGAATAATGATTGCTTGTTTCATTCCTAGTGGAGGTTCTGGTCTGAAATAGATACAATAATGTGAATTTGTATTTTGGGTAGATGCTCTACGGTGTCGGGAGTGTGGAATATATCATCCATATCCAGAATGTAAACCAGTTAGGAAGGACTGTCAACCTGATACAAAAGAACACACCTGTGCAGTATCAAGACTCTATGAAAGTAAGATATCTTATGCTGAACTGATTTTCTGGTTCCTAATTCAACACCTATTGACCAACCCCATCTCCACTTCTTTTGAGATGCCTATGGATTAATAACATTTCCATCCCCATCTGGGTGAGCAGAATAGAGTCTTGCTGGCCTCAACATCCCACTGTGCATAAATTTTAAATACAAAGAATCAAGACCAAAACAGAGAATTAAAATGGAGATTAATTCCAAATATAGGTAAAGGTAAAGGTAAAGGTTTCCCTTGACATTTTTAGTCCAGTCGTGTCCGACTCTAGGGGGGCACTGCTCATCCCATTTTCAAGCTGTAGAGCCAGCGCTTGTCCAAAGACAGTTTCGGTTGTCACGTGGCGAGCGTGACTAGGGAACGCCATTTTACCTCCCCATTGAGGAGGTACCTATTTATCTACTCGCATTTACATGCTTTCGAACTGCTAGGTAGGCGAGGAGCTGGGACAAAGCGACGGGAGCTCACTCCGTCGTGTGGATTCGATCTTATGACTGCTGGTCTTCTGACCCTGCAGCACAGGCTTCTGCAGTTTAGCCCGCAGCACCACCACATCCCACTATTTAGATTTAGAATTCCAAATACAGCAGACAGTATATATAACATACTAACAAGAATATGTAAGGAAGGAAAAGAAACTAAACTAAAAGACAGTTTGGACATTTTTTGTGAAATATTCATAAAAAATAAGAAGACTGACTCTTCCCCTTCCCTCTTTTCTACTTTTCTTAGAAGGAGAGCTGATAAGAACATATCGAGGATGTCATGGTAAGTCTGAATGTGGTAAGAAAAGAACCTTCCCTCCTTCAAGAAGTAGTGAAGTCGTCTGTTGCCATGATCGTGACTTCTGCAATGAAAACTTATAGAGAGGTGCCTGAAGATCATCAAGCCTACTGGATGCATGGCTATGCTGATATCTTCTTATTTGACCTTTGCTCTCCTTGTTCATCAAGCATGGCTATGCCAATTATCTTCTTATTTGACCTTTGCTCTCCTTGAACCAATGAATCCTAACCATGCTTGTCTGGGAGACTCCCTGCATTCTTAAGAATTAAAGTGTAGAATTGTTCAGAAGTCCAAGATTATACTGTGCTTTTAAAAAGGGGGTAGCTTTATACAGTTTAGAATACAAATTTGGGAACACGTATCCCATGCAGACAATCTCTTTGAAAAGAAAAGAATAGAACATCATGGGATTTTGTAGGGCGATTGGACAACAACTCCCTGAATTCTCCAAGCAACATGTTGCCTGGAGCATACTGGGGATTGTAGTCCAAACATACAAATAGGCCCCCTGCTAGTGGCCACTTACATCTCTCTCTCCTCCAACTCTACAGGCAGGGTGGATTGGCCCAGAAGAGGCAACTTAAATTTGAGGGGAAACAGCTCTTACCACCTCTTGGTCAATAGCTGGAAATGCTGTGGCCTTTGGACATCCCCAGCAAAGGAACAGACATGTTTGATCTCCACACTGGATGGCAGGGTGGGTAGGACAACAGCTTGGTGTCAGTGTTGGCCAAAGCCAGTCACGTTACCCTGCATCCAGATACTCTGCCACTGATCGTCCCACTCTACCCTGCCTACTGAGCCCCAGTGGCATACTTGAATGGCTTCATGATCACCATGACCTAAGCCAGAGTGTTTCACCAACCAATGCTCAGTGAGGCTGAGATCCCTATATTTGTTTCTGCAGTCACCTGGTGAAGCAGGGGGCACTGCTTCATCAAGCACGTAGAAGGTCATAAGTTCCACAGTACAAGGAAGTGATCCAGGGCAGTGCTTCTGATGCACAGGTGGCTAATCTTCACCCAGTGTGAGATGCAGACTAAAATCATCCAGCAGGGAGCAAAGCTCTCTTGTCCCATGGTCATAGGTGGGCTTTTCTGGTCCAAGATTCAGAACATACTTGACCACAAGAGGAAGGATGTGGGCTAAACCCCCTCCTTCAGAGTAGCTAGCATGTAAGCTGTGTTGTCCATGCCTATGAAAGCATGATGGATGCTCCCACCATCAAATCAAGAGGACATCTTTCAGAAGACCAGCAGGATGTTCTATGCCATGTGGCTCCATGGTTTATTTATGTAACATAACTTAGAAGTACCCTAGCTGTCTCTGCTCTCCGGGCTGACTACATCCACATTGGAAAAGGGCATTATCCAGCACCCAGAAATGTGCAGACAAACCATACCACCCACTCACGTTACTCTACAGGCCTGCTTTGTTTGTTTCACTTCTACCCTGCCTTTTTCCCATGGTAGGTTACAATGATTAAAGCAAGTTAGTCTAGTCTGATGTGAAAGGGATGATCCCATGGGCTTGGTCCGTCACCTTATTCACCGGATCCTGGCTCCCTTCCACAGGGTGGGCACAGTCATCTGGCTCATAGTAGGCTTACAAGACACCAGGTAGGAAGGACAAAATAATTCAGGAGTCTACAGAAACTCACCTGCTCAACCAGGAAGGGAACCACTCTTGAGACTGATCATCTTCCTGATCAGAGCATTGACTTTCCAAGATAGCTGCCTCTGTGCACCCTGCTCCCAACCCCTCTCCGCAGAGCCATAAAACATCTGCAACACTGTTCCTGGACATGATGAATGGACATTGCCTTCTTCTCTGCTGGTATGTTCCTCATGAGTCACCTCCTGTTCCTTGCAACCAGTTTCTCTATCTACATAGCGCCTGCAGGTGAGTTCCATTAACAAATCATCATCATAGGCATCCTTCAGTCTCAAGAGACTATGGTAACATGCTCTGAATCGAGGAGTGTCCTCTCCAGAGCATGAAGCCTGGGTAAAGTAATATGGAGGATAGGCTGTTACCCAAGCAGCAGATCCCCCCTCTCCACATTGCTGAAATGGCCCAATGGAAAGGCAAGAGCCAATACAACTGGTTCCAGCAACGTCGCAGGAGTTGGCAGAACGACACGAACTGCCTTCGGGACTCCAACTCCGGATTTTGTAGGGAGACTGGACAACAACTCTCAGAATTCTCCAAGCAGTATGTGGAAAACAGAGACCTTTGGGTAGTGTGGGCGGCATATAAATAAAATAAAATAAAATAAAATAAAATAAAATAAAGAAATTCTCTTAACAATATTGTTTAAAAAATATTTACAACATCACTTTAATTTTTTTTATTTACTGCCATAAGTATGAAAAATTGTAATGACTGTACAATGATGGCATGTTTCATCCCCAGTGGATGTTCTTGTTGGAATAGACATAAACCTTGCCTTCCACTTTACTGGATTGAGGCAATAAGGATCTTCTATCCAACCAGCTGGCAATGCGGGCTTTGCCAGCAGTAGCTATAGATTTCATTTAAACCGTTGCATGCAGCAGGTTATTAGTCTGCGTTACCTTCTTCCCTAAATAATAATCTTTAAATTCCCACATACTTCTCCTTCCAAATCTCTCTTATCCTCTAAAGCAGACAAACAGCAAGACGTAATCCCAACAGCCAATTCTGAATAGTCTGGGCAGCTTTTCACCTAAGACTGCAGTATAACTTATTTTGTCACAGCAAGTAGAACACCTACCTCCAAGTTAAGGCCCCTCGGTCAAGATGAGGGGGGGAGCTGTCAATCATCTTTTCACTGTCAGCATCTTAGTTTCTTCCTTAAAAGGAATTGCTAGTTTCTCTTCCCTTTTCCTGTGCTTAATCACATTGCATTTTATAAAAGAAAAAATAATGAAATTAATAATAATAATAATTTATTGTCATTGTAAGTATATACACATACAACGAAATTCACAGACACCCAGAGACCAGACACATGCACACACATAAAATTCCCCAAACACTCCCCACCCACTAAAAGTCCCTAAAATTCAGCCTACCCACCCCTGAATCCTAGCTTTAACCGGAGCAATGCATGACAGTATTCCTATGCAAGAGAACTGGTCCTGTTCTCTTGTCTTTCACAGCTGCCACAAACCCACAAAAATACCACAAATCTACAAATCTGGTCCATAGTCCTAATTCATATGTCATTTCCATGCTGGCTGTGGGATTCTGGGAGTTTTACTCTAAAAACATGATTTCAAGAGTTAGATACAAAGTGAATCTCTAAACAAAGTCAGACAAACGAAAAATAAAAAAATGGAATTAGACAAATCAGTTAGCAGGTCTGTCTCCTGTCACACAGCATGGGACTGGAATGAGAAATTTGCCAACCCTAACCACAAATCTGCATTTTTAAAGTCCTGAGACTTTCCCCATTTCCCTTTCATAATTTCCCTGCACGTATTCAACTGAAATGTGGCAAGCTTGGTCCCTTTTGAAAGGACAGTTCTCCCAACAAATTTCATTCAAATCTGTCAAGATATATAAATAGGTTCCTTTTAAACGCCAACATTCACCTATGCACCTATTTCTTTTGAGGCTTGGTGCACCCAATCCCCTTATCACAAGCTACTGTGGTGAAAAATGCTGTTTCAGCAGCAACAACAGCAAAATGTAATGTCATGGTTTCCAGTCATAAATCAAGGGATGTTCCAGGACGATTCTAGTCTCAGAATGAAGAATGTGTGACATAACCTTCCTAGTACTTCCTCCTATAGGGTTTAATGAAGCATATAAAATCTAAATAACATTTGAAATAATGCTCAGAATTTCATCAAAGCAATCTGAGTCACTATTCCCTAAAAAGCCTGAATAAGGATAATCGGTAAAGGGCTTGAGTCCTAGCTGTCTTAAAGACTGCATCTCCCTCTTTGAGTCTGCCTGAGTGTTAAGAGCATCAGGAGAGGCCTTTCTCACAGTCCCTTCATCATCACAGATGCATTTGATGGGGAGATGGGTGAGGGCCTTCTCTGTCACTGCTCCCAAATTATAGAACTCCTTCCCACGGGAAACCAGGCTGGCTCCCTCTTTGCTGTTCTTCCTCAAACCGGCAAAGACCTTTCTCTTCAGACGCACTTTTCCTTAGTAACCAGCAGTCTGAGAGAGGTTTTGTGCTCTGTTGTTTTTAAACGAGTTTTTAAAGTATTAATTTAATTTAGCATTTTTAATATAATACTTGTTTAATTCTTTTTAAATATTTGTACGCTTGTTTTAGCTTTTTTATATTGTCCTTTCCCTGACATCTGAGCGTTCAGCCTGGAGGCAGGCATTGCATCACAGCCTCTCCCAATTTGAAGAGATCCTTATCCAGCAGGCCGAGGTGAAGAGGAAGTCACAAAAGCAGCAAAAGCAGGGAGCTGGACAGGGGTCAGATTGGATTTGTCTTCAATGTGGAAGAGATTGTCACTCTCGAATTGGCCTCCTCAGCCACACTAGACACTGTTCCAAGACCTCTACTCAGAACACGTTACCATAGTCTTTCGAGACTGAAGGATGCCTAACTAACTAATTATTGTCCTTTTAATAAGTGGTCTCCAACCTTTTTGGCACTGTGGGCTGATTTTTAGCGTGTGTGCTAGGGATGGGGGACATCTGTGAGTGTGTGTATGTGTGCAGGAGTACGTCTGTGCATGCTCAGTGGTGCATGCATGCATGCATGCCTACGGGTGGATGTGTGCATCCACGCATGCATGGGGGTGTCTGTGCATGCATGGGGGCATGAGTGTGTGTGTGGACAGGTCTCAGCGGCCCAGTCCTGGCTGCGGACCAAAGGTTGGGGACCCCTGCTTTTATCCTATGGCCCTTTCAATGAAAAAGGTGGGATATAAACAAACAAACACTCATCAGCAAGATTTAAGGAAGATATATACTATTCCCAGAGCTTGGAAAAATTATATTTTTCAATGATAACATACAACAGCTATGCAGGAATTGTCATCCAAAACATAACTTTTCCTTGCTCTGCATATGCTTTTTCTGAAAGGTGGAGGAAAAGGAGGAGTCACTCTGCCAATTTTCATCAATTTTAGTTCTG